GCAGGAACCTTAGTCTGGATGCACTTCAGGAGCTGCATCTCTATACCGTCCAGGCTTTGAAGCTTTGGGAGGGCAAGGGGAGATGAAAGCCTTTGTGCTGATGAGCCCCTTGGCTGGGCTGTATTCAGAGGGGACGTGAAAGGCACGTGGAGAGTTCTGGACTGTGGCAGCACTGAGCTTTCAAAAACTGCCTTGAGTGTGTCTTTAGGTTATTTTATGTACATGGACAACTGTTACTCTTTAATCATCCTTGATTCAATAAAGAATACTTAGGTGAGGAACTACGATTCCAGGTAAGACGCATGGCACTGAACCCAAAGGAAAGCTTTGTATTCATGGCATTATGATTCAAGCTGACCAGTGCTTTAAAATATATACATTACATGTTAAAACCCAATAATGTTAAAAAATACTTTTTAAAAAGTAATTATTTAAAATCAAGTATTTCAAAGATATATTTTTAGTATGATTTTTAAAAATCCAATCTGATTTATTGCTTATATATTTGTTCTCAGACTTTGTTAAGTTTCTGTTGTATTTGCTGTCCTGTCTTGTACAATAAAGCAGTCTCTGTGAATTGTAACTGGCACTTTGAAAGCTGTGGCTGATGATGTCTTATGCATTCTTCACTGGCAGGTTCCAGTTGCACACTGTTTTGGGCCTCCAGGACATTACAAAAGAAAGTTTTGCACTGTGTGCAGAAAGTCCCTAGAGTCTCCTGCCTTTCGATGTGAAGGTAACTTAAAAAACTCTACTTGTATAGCTGTGTGTTATCCAGTAATGTACACTTTGCTTACACTGCATACCTTGAGGGTGTGCGTGTATATACACATGCACACGTATGCGCTTACTGTGTTTGAGAGATGTTTGGGTTTATCATCCACTCATTGATTGTGGAAATGTGTACTTTAAATGAGGGAATAATAGATCAATAACTTTCAATAAACCACAGACTTTGTCAAATGTGTATATTCTTTCATCTTTCCTCCTATTTACTCTGAGCAAGTCTGTGGTGTTGATGGTGTGCAATGAGCCCATGCCTGAGATGTGCAAAAAATGAGAAGCTATTATGGCAAAAGAAAGACTTTTCCTCTTGAGGTAATTTATTTTTGTTTCCAGTGGAAGCTTTTGATATGGGAATCATCAGGTATTCATGTTTCTAAAACCTCTCTCTTTCTACAATAGAATGGAATATAACTTTTATGTGTTACTGGTTTCAGATATCTGTTGCTTGTAATCAGGATGAGGTACGTTCAATGGAAAGATATTTGAAAATATTTTTTGTCAAAATAGTACTGCTCTGAGTGTTCTGACATGGATTCTCTGAAAAAACGGTAATTAAAGAAATCACCCAAACGCCAGAATTTTTGCTTGAAATACATGTTGGCATGAGTATTTGACAGATTTTGACATGCGGCAAATCTGTAATTCTCCCTTGTCTCCCCTGTCTTGAATGTCTAGTAGTTGTTGTTCAGTTGATGTTGTGAGGTTGAATGGAATTTAGTATTTTAAAGGAATGCTACCTGTTACCTGTTTAAAAAAAATAGTCTGCTGAGGAGAACTAATTCTGTAGGGATTTGAGATGCTTTCAAAATTGCTATTATGCTAAAGATAACGTCGTACGTATTATTATTGTTTTGTTGTTGTTGTTGTTGTTGTTGTTGTTATTATTGCCTGGAGAAAAGAAGGCTCTGGAGGGACACCTTATTGTGGCATTCCAGTTCCTTAAGGGGTCCTATAGAAAAGCTGGGGAGGGACTTTTTACAGGGGCAGGTAGCAATAGAATGAGGGGAGGCTGGTTTTAAACTGGAAGAGGGGAGATTTAGACTAGGTATTAGGAAGAAATTCTTTACTGTGAGGGCAGTGAGACACTGGCACAGGTTGCCCAGGGAAGTTGTGGATGCCCCCTCCCTGGAAGTGTTCAAGGCCAGGTTGGACAGGGCTTTGGGCAACCTGGTGTGGTGGGAGGTGTCCCTGCCCATGGCAGGGGGTGGACTGGATGAGCTTTAGAGTCCCTTCCAACCCAAACCATGCTGTGATTCTATGTTTTAATACCGTTACCTGTCTGTATGTGTAGGGGAAGTATTTCCCTTTGGTCAGTCAGTGGTGCAGTGTTTTTGATTCTTCTTTTGTCTGGTAAATTGCATAACAAATCTAAACTATATTCCTTTGACTAGTGGGAATCTGTCACTTAATATAGTTACCATGTGCGCTGGATGAATTGGTGAGATAGTCAAAGAGCTGCAGATACCTCAGAACATGTGTGGCATGAGATAAACATACAGAGTTTGAAAAAAAAAAGGTTTTTGCTAGCTATGTCTTCTTAACACCTGAAAATAACTTTAGTTTAGTGATCTATTTTTGTTAACGCTTTCTAAATTTTGCATTCATATTCTTACTTTCTTAATTCTACAGTATTAATGTACCCATTGCAAGGCAGTATTTGTTTTTTCAGATGTTTCCATTTAAGTATTCTTAAGCGAAAAACATGTGAAATTGCTTGTTATATTTAGGTATTGCAAATGCCCGGACTTCTTTTTTCCTAGTTCAGTGAAGGTTCTGAATTGTGTTCCTTGCATGGATTAACAAATTTACTTGTTTTGTGTAGTGTTACTTGTTTGCTATCCCATTTTCTGAATACTGATAAGTCTACAACTTGTTTCTCTGATACTTTTCCAAAATGTACCTTAAAAAGGGCAGTTGAGGTTCATAAAATGCACAAGATGCTTCCTTTTCACTTCAAACATAATTTCAAAATTTGTTTTAGAAATCAACTGTTTTCAGCTGTAAAGCTTTTAATTTCAGATAGAAATGTTGGAGTTTCTTGCTTTTTCTGTTTGCTTCTAATGACCTAGCTTAATAGCACAAGTCTACTGTTGGTTATGTTGTTCTCTTCTGATACTGAAATTTAATGAACTTCTCCTGGAATCTTTGCTGTAATTAAGATAGAAAAGAGGGTTAAGATAAATTTACCTTTTCTAAGCAAACGACATACATCACTTTATGTACTTTTAAAGTAATTTAAGTAACTTGGTTTGGACTTTTCATATCTTGCAATAAAATGAAAGGAAATTGAAAATTTTCGGGCAAGTACTAAATGGTGTGGGTGCATGGTGGGGCACCTGTTCTCAGAAATTATTGTGCATGTATATTAACTCCTGATGACATAAGTACATACACTTCATTGGCAAAAATTACAGTATTTGGACTCCAAATTCTGCTGACGATCACTAATTGCTTTTGATAGCCGCTTTTGCTGTGGAATTCACTGGTAACAGTTGAATTTGTACTCATGATGGAGAGAGTTGCTCTCCCTTTTCTTTCCGAGAAGGAGTGGAAAGAGAAAAAGAAGAAAAAGAGTAACCCAAACATTTTTTGTGTTGGATCCCTTAAAAAAGTTTCTTATTAAGCATCAACTAGGAGCAGCAAATTTGCTGGGGAGGAAGGCAGTTAACATTTTAAAGGTTTTTCTGCCAAGTTTATGTATCTGAAATTAACCAACTTGGTTTTTTTGGCAATTATGAAAGAATACACAGCATTTTCATTACTAGCTTGAACAGAAAATGGTCATTCTGTTGTGAGTTAAAGAATTGTGTAGGTTACGTATGGACTGATAAAGATGAAACTTCTTGTTTTAGGACCTCTGATTTGACTTGATCTTTATGTAGTAAAAGCTTCATCTTCCCTGTCAGTGGGGTAGCTATGTTAGGGGTTTAACTCCTGTGACACTCCTGCCCTTCATGTGCACACGTTTTCTTATTCTGAGTTGGAGTTGGTGTTAAAAGCAGCAGGTGTGAATTAAACCAAGGGAAAAAAACTGCTCTGTGTTATTGTAAGGTATGGCAAAGGGCTGTGTGCGCCTGTGTTAGCAGAATTAACTATCAAAAACCCAATGCTTGTTTTAATTCCTTGAAGCTGTAATTTGGTTGACAGAAACTTTTAGCATTAGTGAGGGGATGTCTAAAAGCATCTAGCTTGCCTGGTAGCTGAATTAGCAAAAATGTAAAATATTCCTGTTATATCTATTAATATGGAAAAATGTGTGCAGAGGGATTGTGTCTCACCTGATATAAAAGTTCTTGAGCTTCATGAAAACACAGCATGGGAGCTGCATGTGAAAGCTTGTGGTTGACTTAGTAAGCCCTGTTAAAAGAGGCTTTGCCTTGGTGTGGTGGTCTTCTGCAGGGTTAGAATAAGGCAGCATTAGTGCTGATCACCTTTTCTGGAGCCCAGAGAGTGATTTCAAAATAATGTATTATTCTCTATGTAATTTAATACTGTTTTCAGGATAGTTTCAGATAATGTGGCCAATGTGCAGTTGCCACCTTCCAATCCTCAGGTTACAGTCTTCAGATTTGTGTGATGTGCTTGGAGCAATAACCTGTTTGAGCAGAACGGAAAAAAATATTTGAAGAATTTTATGCTTGCCTCTTACTTTCATTTATTCCATGAAAAATCAGATGCCCTCCCAAGAGTACCTGTATACACAAGTCTTTGAAAAGCAGCTAGAGGAGGATCTTCTTCATCCATCTTTATCTATGAGGTCCATAGAGAACTTTCCGAACTCTCATAGTGATGAAGCTAGGTATTGGGATATTTTAGTTTTGGGGTTTTTTAAATGACTGATCCTTTGTAGCATAGTGTTTTAGCTGTTGGGTTTTTTTACAGATTCTCTTTTCTTTCGCATCTGATACTTCAAGTCAGCTTTTAAATAATGAAGGTATTTTATCCAAAACCAAACTTGCCTAAAACTTTATAGGCTTCATTAAAACTTCTTCCAGGTACAGTATCTAACAAGTATTTTGGAAGATAATGTTAAGCTTACTTGAAAAAATGATTACTACTTACTACTGAAAAAATTATTAACTTCCTGAAAATGAAATTATTATTTACTCTATGCAGACGTAGCTTGGACAAATGTTCTCTGAGATTAACATACCAGTTTACTCCAGTCACGTTTAAATCTAAATCCATTGAGCGTGATCTGACAGTATAAAGGATTAATTTCCTGAATAAAACACCCTTTCTGGCTGTTGCAGTCTCCCTGAGAATGACGTCCTCCAGTCATTTTGCATGTTTGGACTTCAATGTGTGTCCTATCACTTTGCAAACACCAGCAAGTCCGTGCTGGTGCAAGCATGCCACGTGGCGGCTGATCTGACCTTGGCCGCATCTCCCATGAGACCATGAGGGAGACAGTGGTCCTGCCTGGCTGCTGTTTCAGTGTCAGTACCCCCTGTTTCGCTGGAACCAGGGACTTGGACGCACCTCATCTCTTGTTTTCTTGTGCTGACAGCTCCAGGGCTGGGGAGAGGGGCTGTCCAGTAGAACAGTGAACCCATTCATGAAGTACCTGCTTGCTCTGCAATAGGATTTGGAAAAGGGTTTGTAAGAGGAGTGGAGTGTTGCTTCAGGAAGACCATTACTTTACGCTCAAGACTTGGTAGTATTAAAATACAGAAGAACTTTCTGCTAATGCTTCTAACAGTAAGCTTTTTTTGGTTTGAGTAACTTAAAGTAGGCTTTCAGGCATGATTACATGGCAGTAGGCAGCAGTTCCTGTGAAACTGAGACAAAGCTGTAATAAGTCAAACAGTTGTTACAAATTTAGCTTGCTGTATTGAAGGAAATACGGCAAGTGCTCATGAGCAAAATTAGCTCAGCCTTTCCTTGTACTTGCAGCATCAGTTTAACACAAAGGAAATGGAGCAACACGTAGGACAAAGCTGATAAACTTATTTTATTGCCTATCTTTGCAGAACAGAAAAAAACATGAAGGAAGTAAAGTATGGTGCGAAATGGTAGTGAAGGGATAGAGGGAAGGAGGGAGGAGCTGCAAAACTCCAGGGTTTCCAGCTTAAAGAAGTTTTCTTGTTTTCATGCTTTTAGTTTGTGAGCTACACGTGCACACAGACTGTATCCTGTTTGCTTGCAGTGATTGCCGACAGTGTCACCAGGATGGGCATCAGGACCACGTAAGTGCGGATGCCTCTGAAGCAGAAAACGTTCACACATTTTTGGTGTGAAAACATGGGCCAGAGGAGGGGGAGGAGTCCTGGCCTTTACTTTCTCATGCTGCCAACTTTCAAAGCACTTCTGTTGCTCATTGGCAGGCAAAGGAAATGTGTGGCTTCAGAATGTATCTCAGATAGCAAGATGAGCTTAAATTCTGACATATTCACGATGCTTATTGAAGCCATACTGAAAAAGTCTGTGCAATGTATACAAGGTCCTAATTAAAAGAAAAAAAAAACAACCAACCAACCATCAAGCATCTTCTCTAAAACTTTGCATTGTGGAAGCTGGCATGGGACTCTTGTTCTGTATGTTGACCTGTTGGCTGCATTGCATCTCGGACAAATATTATCTTGTTCCTCAGGCTTCCTGCAGTCTGTCTGAGGCAAGACCGCCCAGCTTCTCACTGTTAAATACATGCATAATATTGATCTTTTGGGGTTTTTTTTTAAAGAATATTGGTTTTGGTGGACTGTGAAGAAAAATCACTATGTGATGAATTTTTTGATAGTTTGATAATCTTCTTTAAGTGAAATGTAATATTGTTCACGCTTATATTTATAGCAAGAAAATACTTAATGTCCTAGTCTGTGTTGCTCTTTCTGAATTGCTGATTTCAAAATTACTTTGTAGATGCTTCTCTGTTTCATGTAATGCTAAGTCGTGATGTGTTCCCCCAGGCTACTTATCACCACCACTGGAGGGAGGGAAACCTTTCTTCAAGTGCTCGTTGCGAAGTTTGTAAAAAAACCTGTGGCTCTTCTGAGGTGCTGTCTGGCATGAGATGTGAATGGTGTGGCATCCTGGTATGTATTTGTGAGAACCATATATATATGCCCATGCTTATCTGAACACTTTACATAAGTATACTTTATTTGTACACTTCATTTACACTTCCCCCCACCATTAGTGTTTAAAATGAAAAATTCTCAAAACCACAGTAAAACTCAGTGTAAATACAGTAGAATTTAAATTTAACAGGGACTCATCATTATAGATTTCTGCTTAGAAGCCTGCGGTTACTTTTTCTGTGTGAAAATGGAATTTATTTCAAATCACATGAATTATGCAAGGTCAAATACTTACCATTCTAATATTCTTATTCCTCTTTCATTGAAGAAAGTTCTTAAGCTTTGTGGTTAGGTTGGGGGGTTTTTTTAAGCTTTCAATATTGATTTCTGTGTTTTTCCATTCACGTGACGCATATTTAATTCCTGTGCAATGTGCTGGTACCCTTCAGTAATCCTCGTGAAAGCCACAGCTTTTCACATACTGATACACAGTCTGCTGTGTAGATAGCAATTGATCTGTCCACTTAATGCTACCTCTTATTGAAATATGATGAAAGTGCAAAGTAGGACCAGATGCAGTGGGAACTGCAAGGTATATGTAATAAATCATTAGTTTTCCAGTTAATGCAATATGAGGTACTCTATGTAATAGTAATTTAAAATTAACCTCTGAGGTTATTCAGTATTTCAGGTATGATTTCAATTTTTTAAAAAATATTCTGTGTTTTGTATTTTTAATCTGGTTCATAATTTCTGAGGTGGGAGGGGCACTCTTTGAGAACAGTCTAACAAATGTAACTTGCTGTGTGGCAACATACACACGGGTATGTGTATTCAGTAATGGCAGAAGATCTCACACAGGTATAAAGGCAGAAACTAGCTAGTCATGTTTTGGAACAGAACTCCAAACAGTGTTATATCTGAATTTGCAAGTGGGTTCAGCTGTGTAAGAGGATACTGCTATTTTTAAGCTACTCAGTATAACCTGCCTATCTTTCCCACCTACCCCCAGTAGATATCTGTATGGAATGGAAGATCCAAGGTCTGACACCTTTGAGTTTCTTTACATGTTAACACTTCTATTTATTGGTTATATAAAAACAGAGCGGAACATGTTAAAAATCTGGGGTGAAAAATGGGTCAATCATTTCATTAAAGTGATTTACAGAAGGCCAATATATGTGCTAGCCTGAGTTTTGCAGTTCCAGTGCATATTTTGTTACAAAGAGATTTGCTTTCTTTGTGTCTCACTGAGTTCTTAATTGATGCTTCTCTTTATAGGCTCATGCTGCATGTTACATAGTTGTCACACCAGAATGTACTTTCGGAAGATTAAGGAGTATGATTCTTCCTCCAAGCTCTGTGCAGTTATTTTCTCGCAACTTCAGCAAACTGCATTGTTTTCGAATATCAGAAAATTTGCAAACAGAATCAGGTAAAAACAACTTAAGTTTAATGTAACTAATTGATGAGCATGTTTTGACCTAGTGTTGTAATTCACTGGAGCATATGATTGCTCATTTTCCCTAGCTTTTGTGCCAGTACTGTAACTTCTTGCTTTTCCTGAGATAGGATAGAGATTTTTACATGCTAACTGTGCAGAATCCTGAAACTTCTGTTTACTGGTACAGTAAAACTGTTCTTTAAACCTAAAATCCAAAAATTTGCTTAGCAGATTAGTTTTATCATTGCTACAAACACTTGCTGATATACATGTTGGTTTTCATTTGACATATCATGTATACAGATATTTTTATTTGCCTCTTTGATTAAGCATCTGCCCTTTTAAGAGTTCTGTGCTGAAAGCAAGTCATCTATTTCGCAGAGTAATGTTCTGCTGCCATCTAGAGTATACATTTGTTATACAGCTTTTCAGGAATGAGATTTTTTTTTTTAAGCTGCTGAAGTACTTTCTAATTTATATTTTGATTATTATTGTGGTCACACACCAGTACACAAGTGGTTCAACTTAAACATAAGGAAAAAACTTTTTTACTGTGAGGGTGCCAGAGCACTGAACAGACTGCCCAGAGAGGCTGTGGAGTCTCCTTCTCTGGGGACATTCAAGACCTGCCTGGACACATTCCTGTGTGACCTTGTCTAGGTGATCCTACTCTGACAGGGGGGTTGGACTGGATGATCTTTCGAGGACCCTGCCGACCCCTGCCTTTCTGTGATTCTGTGATTATGTTCTTGTAAAGCTTTTCTTTTAGTACTTGAATACAAAAGGAAAGCAAATAAAAGGTAGGCAAAAATATAGCTCATGAAAGTTGAGTATTTGCAACTGCATTTTTCTCAACCTGACAGGTTGTTCTTGAACTTTCTGCTTTGAACATGTAGGTTTGGTTTTGGTGAAGGCAGTTGGTCGCTAGCAGGACGCATGCATTCCCATATGCAAAAGCTGTAGCAGGAGTCTCGCCACTGCATAAACTGCCATGATATACTGAAGTGACCTATAAAATGGTGAGGAGGGAGAGGAAGTCTTATGGTGCTTTTGTTGATTGGCCTGTTTTTTCCAGTGAGTTATTTTTCTTTTTAACGAATTTGCTCATTGGTAGTAGAAGGTGAAGTACAGCACATACTTGAAAGTCACTGAGTTTTTAATGCTTCCGACATACAAAATATCAGAAATAAACAATCTGGATGATCTTGATTTTGCTGGAAGACTCATTATGAATCTTGATTAAGGTCTATTGTTAGATAGACCCAAAGTCTATCAGTTAGATAGACAAGTGTCCCAAAGGCTTAAGTGAAGATAAACTTGTGTTATTCTTAACAGAAATTAATCACAAACTTTTTAAATAGCCTGTTCAAGTGTGACTTTTCTGATGTTAACCGTGTGTCTTTTAAACGGTGATCTGTTCTTTTAATATGTCAGACTTAAACTTTTTCTTTTTTTAATTTTTAAATCACCTCTAAGTAAAAATTGAATATGGAGCACCTTGAGTGAAAGAATCCAGGGTTAAAGCTGCGCATTCTAGTCTCTTCCTCCAGTATTTTACATGATGCAAGAGAAGCTTTTCTATTTCAGGGCTTAGGCTACACACTAAGTCAATGAGTGTTACACATACTCAGTTTTCTTTTAAGTAATAATGTTTTTTGCTATCCTTTAATTAAAATGTATATCTTGTACTTTGAATTAAGAGACTGCAACGCAGACCAGTCAGTAGCTGGTGGTCAGTAATATATGCATGGGGAAGGGGAAATACTCAGTAACTTAATTTGAACATCGTGTTGAGGCTTGCTTTAAGACCTGTTGCTGGAGTTTGGCTTTTCTCAGTTGTCCACTGGAGATCTGCTCTCTGCAGGTCCATGCCAGAGGCACTGAATAACATTGGTACACAGGTGTTCCTCTCTGTCCAGATTCTTCCTTAAAAGCAGAGCTGGGAATTGCCTTAAACTAATTCTCATCTCAACCTGCTCAGTGCTCTGGGCTGGTAGTTGTTGTTAGCCATGTTCACAGAACAGACCTGCATTTTCTTTCAAAAACCCACTAGCTCCTGGCATATGCTGAAAGTTACCATGACTTGTCATGAGTCCAGCAGCACCCTGGCACTCTTCAGGATGGGCTTGAATCTCCTCTGACCACAGAGAAGCTGTGGGGGCTGCTGCTCTGGATGGCAGATCTTGGCAAAGATGTGGTGCACATTAGAGATGTTTCCAGGGAGTAAGAAGCATTTCAGCTTTGTTGGAGGATAATTAGCACTTCTATCCTCATTTCTGTGGGACGTGTTGTGCAGATGTGCTTGCTCAGAAGTTCTCACACCACAGCATGCACAGAGGGTGCTCTTCCATTGCCACAGCTGGTAAAGGACATAGCTCAGAGGACTGTGAAAAGACTGGTCTGTGGCACCAAAGAAATCTTGGTGTGTCAACTACTGCAGTCACAGCTGTTCCCAAGCTGGGGGTTGGGAGGTGCCAGATGACTTGTTCTAGACAAAGAATGAGCACAGCATCATTTTCCTACTGGAGTGCATTTGTCTGGACTGGCTTTTGCCACTGAGTAAATGCTAAGCTTCATGGCCAAGATTTAGTGAACATCTATGTGCTGAAAGTGGCTTTTGAAAACTCTTGGACTACCAGGGGAAGCAATGGTAGAGCAGTTATCTCCTCTTCCTCTAACTGACTCCTGTCTTAGTGTATTTCAAAATAAGTCATTGAACATAATTGGAATAGTTTAAAGATGCTGTTAGTGTAGATTTCCCTACTATCCAGACTGAAGGAGAAAGAGTAATAAAAGAAAGATGTCAGTTTCTTCCCATCTAAACTTAGAAAAAGGGAAGGGTTGGGAGCAATCAGGAATTTTTTTTCATTTCTAATTGTTGTATTTCCTTATTATTTTTTAAATTTGTTTTTGTCTGAAGTGAAAGTCTAGAAGGCATTCAGCTTCCATTTATTTCAGGGTTTCAAGACCATACTGTCGACATTCCTCCCCAGTCTGAAACTTTGTTTTTCTGTCAACTATAACAGCAAATATTTCAACGCTTTTATATTTTAAAAACTTCAAACCAGAAACATTATTGTTGGTCTCACTTGTAGTCAGTTGAAGCATTACCCAAATATTCAGTAAGTTACCTTTTCTCCAGTTCAGGACTCTGCCTAAGCGCCGTTCTTGACGTGCTGTGATTCTGCTTCTTGGAAGGTTTTCCTGCGTTAGGATTCTGGCTTCCCTCATACCTCTTTTGCTCTGAAGATAGGTCTTTACTGATTTGATTTGATTTTTTCTCTCTTGTTTTGTGCTTTGATTTCCTGCTTTCTCCCTCAACTGCAAGGCAGTTTTTATAGAGATGTTGCCAGGTTTATATCTTTTGGGAGCATTGTCTGCATCCCGATCAAGACTGACTGGGAATTTCAGTGAGTGGGAAAAAGAATACCATTATGCGATCAGCACACTGGGTTAGGCTATGTTGTAGCTACTGCTACACTGAGAGAAATAAAATTTATCATGTTTGGATTTGCACCAGTCTTCCTGTATGGATGCGAGTATCAGAAATGAGAAAGCAGTCAGGATGTTATCTTCACAGAAGCAAGTGTTAATGTTAGTATCTTTTATTTTAATATTTTCTCAGTATTTTATGTGTGATTTTACAGGCTGTGTTACTATCTGGTGTGTTAGCTCCTAGCTTTCAGTAATAGTGAGCTACTGTCAAAATTCTCTTCTGGAGTGCAGTAATTTCTTTCTCCTTGGGTGTCAGCTAATCTATTTTTCAGTTATGAAAGTTATTTCTATAATACCTATACTTCTGACTGGAAAGCTGTTGCTGTGATTCCTGGACTTATTTCATGATTTTAAACTTAATAAAAACCATATGTACTTCGATCATAGGCAAACATTGCAGCTTGAGAAAGGGATGAAATGCAGTAGTTGCAATATTAAAGGTAATGGTAGGAAGACTTCAGATATCCCTTCAGTGCAGTTATATTACAATGCAGGTTTGTTTTTTTAATGGTGTTTTTATAGTATGGATTATTATAATATAATAAAGTAGGCAGAAGAAGAAAGTGTGCTTTTCTGATTGGATTCTTTTGTGTTACCTTTGATGGAAACCATTCTTAAATGACAAACACTCTAACACTTTTTTTTCCCTAGTTCAAATTAACAAGAATCCATTCTTAAAATGTTTCTGTTTTCACAGATGAAGATGACGATGTTGATGGATCAACACAGGGATCAGCAAAAGATGTCCAAATTTCAACCGATTCAAGTAAGCAGAATTTTAGTAAGTGAATAGTCACCCATTCCAGTCTTTATTAACATAATCTTAACTTGCTTTGCTTTGCAAGAAAAATTAAATGGCTATTTTTCTAATGCTAGGTATCAATTTGAGATCCAAAGTTTTGGTCCAACTCGTTTATCCAGGGTCTGGAAAATAATCTCACCACTATTTTTCACTAGTAGACTGGCATAAGTGACAATCTGTTAATTACTCTGACAAATAGATAATTTCTCTGAACTTGGTAGTTGAAGAAAAAAAGCACGGTGTTAACAGTCCACAGATAAGAAACAAATTAAAGGGCAGACAGCATGTCTTTTTGAAGCCTTTTTCTTTTAAGATAGCTGGATCCAAATCTTACTGAAAACACCAAGTGATTTGTTTGAGTCTTTTTTTTTGCTTGGGCACGTTGCAGGAAAAAAGTATGAACCAGGCTGGTTGTTTCTTATGCAGTTAATTTCTTATGTGTGTGGAGTTTTCTAGGGTTGGTATTAGCCAAATTCTTACTTTTCAGAAGATGAAGCCAATCACAATTTAAGGGCATCCTGCCCCCTATACCCATATTAGTAACTAGACAAACATGGTACTTGTTGCCTAAAGTAGCTGCATAGATTGTTGTAAAAACTGAAATTTCAAATTGATAAATATGATTGGCACTTTTTTTTTTGCCTAAAGTTCTTAGAAAATTGATGGGAAAAGAAAAATGAGTGTTCTGAAAAATCACACATTACTTTTATTTTGCTTCACTTCCACCATTGTGCATATCTTCCTTTTCTCTTCTTATCTCAACCCCCTTCATGTGCCTTTTCTGATACTTGATATTGTTCACTATTGGTCTCACTTCTCACTAAGTTGTGTGTTGTGCTGTACCCCAACTCATCTCTCCCAGTTCTCTTCCTTCCCCTAGCATAACATTTACTCCTGTGTTGCTGCCCCTTTGGCTTGGTTCCCTTTCAGTCTGACTGTGGTGTTCCCTGAATGCCTTCCCACCTCATCCTTGATGTCTCATAACAGTTGGTAGTCAAAATGTTCTAGATGTCTCTTTTAGGGAAGGCAAGCACTTCTTCTTAAGTACTTCCTGAAAATGTGAAGAGATTTTATGAAAAATAAGATCGGAAAAAAACTTCCTGTAGTCTTGTAGCATCATTGCCAGAAGGCTATGGAGAGGTATTTGCAAATGTTACTAGCTAGTGTTAATTTATTGTCTGCCTTAGGGGTCCTTGTGTCAAGACTTACCAGATTAAAAATTTAACAATAGATCCTTAAGAGTGACATAAAGATCCCTGCTTTTTTGGGTTGTTTCTGTGATTAGCACTCTCTTTGCTTTAGCATTCTGCTAGTCTTGATGCTTGGATACAGTTTACCCATAGCAGCCCACTGGAAATGTGTATAGACACATTTCAGGAGGTGTACTGATGGCTTAACAGACTTTCTGTCCATGTGTGTGGGCAACCCATTTGTCAGACAGGGACACATGAAGAGTGAAGGACACAGCCCTGACCTGGGAGTTGCCTTGCCCTGGGAGTCTCCCTGCCCTGTGTCTCTCAGCACCCGCTGGCTGCATGGGAACCGTCTGCCTCAGCATGTGCCTATCTTCTGCATGACAAAATGCAGCCATCAAGAGAAAACCCTCTCTGAAGGAGGTTTGAGAGGAGTCTGACCAAGGATAGAAATGGGGTGCTGTCAGCAAATGTACTTTTCACAGCATGTGCTCCCACAGCCCCTCTTTTGCCAGGCAGTGCTCTGCTCAGGTAGCTGTTTACGTGCCGAGTGAGGGAAATAAGATGTTCTTAAATCAGACTGACCGAAGTCATTGGCTTATTTCTTGCTTGTGTCTTGTCCCAAACCTGCTGACAGTGTGGAAGAGACCTTCACTGTAATTCTGCAAGCAGGAACAAACTGTTTTCAGAAACAAGCAAAGACAGCATTTGTGGATTCGAGGGATTTTTCTTTTAAAGACAGTTATGAAAATGTTCAGTCTTCATAAAAAGGGTCATTGTACTCTGCTAAAACCAGTTACAAATAACTAAGCATGTTCCTCTGAAACATTTATTTAAATGGATTTGGAACCCTAAAGCTAGAGGGAGAAGCAGGTGAAACTAGATCAAGTGATGATACATATGGCAGACACTTGAAAAAGTTTTAAAAACCACTCTGGAGGAGAAGGGTAAAGAGGTGGCTACCAATATGGGAGAATGGCTATCAAAACAGCTTTGTTCTTCAAAACTGTCTTGGAACCTGGGGGATTTGAACTGCTCAGTAAAACAAGTTCAGAGAAGTGCACACTTCAATGGCTCTCCTAGAAGAGGAAGAGTTGGAGAAGGGAAGAATCTGGGATTCTGAAAGACTCTCTTAAAGAGCAGTAAGAGAAAAAACCCCACAATTCTTACCTGCTTTATTGCTGCCTTGGAGGTGGTGAATGGTAATACCGAAATAAATCAAAATTTGCCAGTCTACACTGTTGTAATCTGGAGTAGCAGTGACTAGAGGAGAGCAGAAAGCATGTGGATAGCACAAGTTTTGTTGGTTCTTGGGAAGCGGTGTTGTTAAATTTGGTCTTTTAAGAGTAAATTCCACCAATATGTTTGGTGTAGGCCTTCAGCTTTCTTCAGTGGCAAAAAACATTCATGACTACATCATATTCCTATCTCTGCCACAAGCTGCACATAAGTCTTTTCAGAAGAAGTGTCTGTGGGGATTTGGAAGTCAAAGGGCATAAACTTTGGACTCATCAAATGCTGTTTGTCCTTTTCCCAGGAAACTTGGTATCTTAGCCTCCAAAATAAAATTCCATCATTTCGTAAATTATGCCTGAAGTTGACCTTTTTGTAATTGTTTTGTCCTTGAAAAACATAAGCATGAAGAACAGGGTTTTTTCAACTCAGTATCCCATGATAAGAAAAAAAGTATTGTGTTTTTCAGGAGGAAGTCCTGATACTGTGGAGTCTGATCCAACAGGAAGATATAAAAGATGTATATTATAAAACAGGCGGTAACTCCCTTAAATACCAAAAATTGTTGTGTGCATCTGTTGCATATTAGCAATATTTTTTATACTGAGTAGTGATATGTAGATTTCAATTCATAATTGGATCTTTTTCTAATATTAAAAAATTGGAACAGGAGGGAGAAAGAGCTTTGTCTATCTTTAAAATTTACTATAGTTGAGCTTCTTTTCAAGGCTAGTTAGACAACCCTTAGCTTTCATGTCTTGGCTGTGCACTTGAATTAGTTGGGAAATGTTATGGATGACTAGTTGTGGTCAAATAAGTAGCTGTTTGTTGTTCTGTTAATATGTCCCCTGAAGCCCATTTGCAAGGAAGCCATCTTTCATCAGGTTGCAGTAAAAATAATCCCTGTGAGGAGGACAGTAACAAAGTTAAACATCATTTTTCACTAATAAAGTGAGCTTGTTCTGTGTGACAGATAATGAGATTACTTTAAGGAAAGCAGGACTGAACATACTGTGTATTTAGCTAAGGAACAGACTTCAACCTCGGACATTACTACTGGTCTGTAGATCTAAACTCCTCTTTGCAAACCAGTTTATCTTTAGAGTGAAGCCAACTTCTTGCAGCATTTGGCTGGTCTGAAGAAGTGGAGAGCTCATAAAAAAGATTTCCATTTGAAATTGCTAGGGATTCTCTTGGACCAGCTGGTATCTAAGAGGAGCAGACTACAAAGGCAGTTCGAAGGAAAACAAGTGCTAAAACTTGGATGGATGTTTTTATTCTCAGATGGTTGTCTATCCTCTGGATTGCTAGAGAAAACAGTAGAGATTTTTATAATGTTATGAAAGTTCGTACTCAGAACATTGGCTGTGCTGTCAGTAACCATGTTTGCTGTGTTTTCTCAGCTCTGTTATCCCTAAAGAAGGTCACCCAGGACAGTGTTTCTCTTGGTTAAAACTTGTCTGTGCTAAAGTCACCATGGAGATAACTCTGATGGAAATTTGCTTCTAAAAGAATTTCACTTTTTCTGACATTATAATCTAGCAGGGTTTAAAGGAGTGGATCAGTTTCTGAAGTGTGCTATAGTCTCAATGCAATGGCAATAGTTTCAAGGATAATTCAGAAGTGAGAGTTGATGATACTTAAATGTTCTTTATATTATCAATAAAAAAAATTGAAAACAGACACAACGATAACTAAGTTGATAACTGGAAAACTGGAAATCTAAATCCACCTGTGAATACTACTTTTCATATTAAAAAAAAAGTACTTGAAAAGTCACGATGTATCATATCATATATTCCAGACTCAGTTCTCCAGTAGAATAATTTACTCTCATATTGCATGTGAAAATTGTGTGATTATTTTTCTTAAACTGATGTTGTAACAGATTTCAGCTAATTACTCTCAGAAGAGTTCTTGAGTTGAATAGTTATATAGGAAAGAAGAAATTAGAGCTGTGCTTCCAAAGTTCATTCTTCTTGACAGGAACAAGAAGTAAACTTGCAAAACTAGAAGCCCAAAGATCTGTCATGTTGTAGATACTGTTTAGAAAGGCAATAATTTTTGCTTCTTCAATTTGACTTTCATTTAGGGTTTTAGTTCTTTTGATTCCTACTTAAAGTATTTGTGCTTTCACATCAGCATCCAAGTGAAAACCAGTAAGAAGTGGTGTCCCTCAGGGATCTGTACTGGAACCAATGCTATTCATTATCTTCATCAATGACAGATAGTGGGATTATTTAGTGAACCCTCAGGAAGTTTGTGGATGCCAAGCTGAGTGGTGCAGTTGATTCACTGAGGGAAGGAATGCCATCCAGAGGCACCTTGATGGGATTAAGGAGCGGTCCCATGTGAACCTCATGAGATTCAACAAGGCCCAGTGCAAGGTCCTGCACCTGGGTCAAGGTAATCCCCAGTATCAGTACAGGCTGGGGGATGATGAATTGAGAGCAGTTCTGTGGAGACGGACTTGGGGTGCTGGTGGATGAAAAATGGAATGTGAGCCCACATTGTGCACTTGCAACCCAGAAAACCAACTGTATCTTGGGTTGCATCACAAGAAGTGTGGCCAGCAGGTTGGGGGAAGTGATTCTGCCCCTCTACTCTGCTCCGTTGAGATTCCACCTGGAGTACTGCGTCCAGTTCTGGGGCCCTCAGCACAGGAAAGACATTGAGCTGTTGGAGTGGGTGTCCAGAGGAGGAACACAAAAATGACAGACTGGAATAAAATGGGCAAATTCTGTCCATGAGGAATAGTCATGTCTGTTGTAAAGCATGGGCTTTCCGGGGAATACAGTGAAAGAACCTACAAAACTAGCTCATCACGTCTCTTCATAAAAGCATGATCAGGAGAGGACACAAGGTCTGTCTTGTTGGAATCTCCTTTTGGTCTGGATTGATTAACTTGATTCCTTTCCATAGGCAGTAAGGACACACATATTAAGACTGAGAATGTTCATTTGTTTTTAAACCCTCTCAAAACCTGCCTGTTCTATGAGAATTTGGTTGCACTTTTCTATTGCTCTTTAAATAGTCACTTAAATAAGAGAGAACCTGTGATACAGTGAGCCATACCAGCCTGAGTCTTAACTAGTCTTTGTGAAAGGTGAACCTGAAATCCTTAACTCTTCACCCTTCCAGACATGTCTGTGCAACAACCTGTGTTTCATGGTTTGAGCATACATATAATAAGGCTTTAGTGAAATGAAACACAGTAAAAGGTTGTTGTTCTTCATTTGCTGTACCTTTGTTCTTCTAGTTTTTCTTTTGTTCCTGTATTTTCTCCTGTTGACTGTACGGTTAACCAGGTACTTTGAGGTCTTTCTGTGAAAGTATGCTCTCAGAAATGGCAGTGCTTTGGGAGCTGTTTTGAAGGTGAAGGCAGTCTGTCTTGGTTTTCAAGTTGTTGAACTGGTCAATAATAAATGCAGTCTTGAATAGTGAGGATGAGGAAGTGATAGCAGAAGCAGTATAGTTACATGTAAAGAGTTATATCAAAAGCCAAGATAAAACCATGATTACCTGAAATACTCTTCCCCTTTTCTCCATGAATGTACTCCTGTTTTAAATGAACAGTAACAAAACAAAAATGAAAAGATTCAGCCTCAAAGCTTGTGATGCAGAAACAGTTCAGTGGTTAAAAGATGTTTTTAACTGTTCTGTTATATGCTTCCTATTCAGGCAGCTTTTTTGATTTCAGGGTGTGTTATTGAAATACAATAATTGTTTTCATTCAGGTAAACAAACATTAAAGATATTTGATGGGAATGATGCAGTGAAACGCAATCAATTTCGACTGATTTCAATTCCAAGGATTGCAAAAAATGAAGAAGTTGTGGTAAGATACCTGGTGAAAGTCAATATACTAACTAGCGTGATAAAGGGGCATATGATTATGTATTACAGTAGTCAAAAGCTAACAGTTTTACAAATTTAACTCAGCATCAACAAAATCTGAAAATGGGCTGTAATATTACAGTGTAATTTGACTTCTTCATCTAGTGCTCTCATTTTAGAGCACCTGAAGAAGTGGTGGCCTACATATCTATAGCATAAGGAGGCTCAGAGTGTATCATGTGCTAAGCAGTAATTCTCCTTCCCTGTGACACTGAAATCTGATTATACTGATGTGAGCAGTACTGGGCAGTCCTTAGATCTTGCTCCTCTTCTATGGTATTTATTGGTTTGACATTTATCCTGAACAGCCACCGCTATTGCACTTCAATTAATCAGCTTTGAAGACTGAAGCATGTCGTCCACCTCCACTCTTTGGCTGCAGAAGTAATGAATTATTGATCACGTTGTAGCTACTCCCAAGCTTTTCCAGTGCTCCCTCTGGGCTGATAACATGACTCAGTACTAAATCAAATGTTCTGTGCAGATCTTATTTGACTGAGTTGTGCAGAGGCCCCATGCTGGGCAGAAATGAAGCCCAGAGCTGGGTACAGGGTGTTGCACAGTAGGGCATGGTGAGGACTCAGTCATAAAGACTCAGTCTTGGCATCCAAGAATCTGGATAACTTATTACATCAGAATTTTGACAGTTTAAACCTACAGCTCAATAAGATTTTTATCTTGATATTGAGATAAAAATCAACAAGAGTTTTGAAAATAGTTTGTAGAGTTCTGCATGTCAAAGATCTTCAAGCAAAAATGTGGACAGTGCTGAAAACACTTTTATTTAGGAACGCTACGTGCCTTTCAAGCACATTGTATCTGTCTACTGCTTAAAACACCAGGGCAGATTAATACCAGTTCTCATAAGTGATTTACTGGGCACTATTCACTGCAGCATCTGTGTTAGCAGAGGTTCTGCAGGCATGGGGTAGTAACGGCTGTAAAAATCCTGTGACTGCTTGCATCTTCCAAGCACAGCCCTTACCTTTCCTCTGCACAGGTGTGTGGGGTCAGGCCAGTCTTGTGGCTGAGAGCTCACTAATTTTCAGCATCCCCTTAGTACAAGAATATTGAATATGCAGAGCAGGGCACAGTCAAGTGTCAGTTACCATTTTCCTTGTGGAGTAGACTTTGCATGCAGTGAGTGTAGCTTTATTGGTGCTGGATTTTTACATGTTATCTATGGAGTTAAAGTGACTATCGACAAAAATACTGTGGGCCATGTTCGAATGCATTGATATCTCAATTTTTCTTTTTGTATCTTCCACTAAAATCTGTTTTCAGAACTTTGCTCTTGTTTTGTTGGTTTTGCCATTGCTATTTATCTACTGTTCTGCACATAAAACACACTTTAAAGTTGGGTTCCAGAAGTAAGGTATTTCTAAATGTCTGTGGTTATACAGATATTAACTGTCTTTTCAAGAAAATGTTAATTTATCTTGCTGTGTTGCAGGAGGCTGCTTTGAGGGCATACTACATAAATGATGACCAGCAGGAGTATGAGCTCCAGACGTTTACACAGCAGGCACTGCTGTCTGATGATGTTATCAACAGGAACAATGCTGCAGAGGACACCAACTTGGGCTCAGTATTCCGAGAATCTGTTCCTGAAGCTTGGATCATCAGAGCCAAACCAAAGGATGCAGAAGTGATCAGAATTTATCCTGCCTGGCTAAAGTGAGTGTTTTCTTTCTTTATCACCAGGTTATCCTGCTTAGCTGCATTTGTCCTCTGTAGTCTAGCCTGGTGTGTTTCAGTCATTGAAGTTGCACAAGTATAACAGAGAATGTAGTTTCTCTTGCTGTATTTCAGGATTCTTCTGTTTATTTTTCTGAATATACATGATATACTCATATATACATATATGAGTAATATACATATTTTTAATTTCTGTGCCTGGAAATGTGCTAGTGGGTTTCTTTACATGTACGGAACATAGTCTGCAACTTGTGTGGTTCTGTTATTGTGCATTTGGGCAAGAAGATACAACTTTACTTTAACTGCATCTATTAACAAATGATGACATACATATACCTCTTGAAAGCTGGATTATTTTTGAGGAAATATTAAATAGAAAGAACTCTGTGTAACTTCTGATGTGAGAACAGAAGGAGAAAATAAAGAAAAAAATCTGTTAACTTTTACTCCTGAGACAATATACATTTTAAGCATATTTAGCAGCGGAAACAAGCCTGGCTGCTAACCTATCAATTTCTTAAGAGCAGTGGGATAAAATTCAATCATTTGATCATGTTACCAATGCAACTATATTGCCAGATTTTATGAAAGACTTGTCGGTAATTCTGTGTATTAGAAGAAATTAATTTGCAGTGCTACAACTGCAATGGCCTTGAAATGAAAGTATTTGCTTGTCTGTGGGGCTAATACTGCATCTGTCATGAGCCTCAGTGAACAAATTTCTTCAATTATTAAAAATTGCTACCTATCCCTTTAGAAAATTTGCCACTTAGGTAAAAAAGTTACACACGGGATAGGTTGAATCACAGAATCATAGAATGTATTGGGTTGGAAGGGACCTTTGAAGATCATCTTGTCCAACCGTCCTGCAGTGAGCAGGGACAGTGTTACCAGCTCAGGTTGCTCAGTGCCACATCAATGTGGGGATGGGCAAGTTCGAATTCCAGTTTGATTACAACTTCGACCTTGAGGAGTGAGCGCTCTGTCCTTGAGCCAAGAAGGCTTGTGGAGTATAAAATGTTGCGGGAGATAAACACTGAAGTCAGTGTGTGGTGTGGTGTGCTGTGCACTGCATTGCTTGCACCAGTTGTGAGGGGGTTCAGCTGCGCGAGCATAAGGTTTGAACCAATGGTAACCGCTTTGCCTGCGCGTGGACAGTTAAGAAACACATAAATATGGAGTTTGAGAGATAATAAAGGTCTTTGCTTGTACTGTTAAGTGAAGTCTGTGCCTTAATTGCCACACATCAAGCCTGACCTGGAGTATCTCCAGGGATGAGGCCTCCACCGCCTCTCTGGGCAACCTGTTCCAGTGATCTACCACCCTCGTACTGAAGAACTTTCTCCTAATATCCGACCTAAATCTACCTTTTTCTAGTTTAAAACCATTACCCCTCATCCTATCGCTACATGCCTTTATAAACAGTTCTTCCCCAGATTTCTTATGGGCATCTTTCAGTTACTGGATTATCGATTTATGATTGTCCTAAAATGATTATTTTTTTTCTATTTAGGGTGGGAATGGCGTATGTTTCTCTACGAGTAAATAAGGATAGCACTACGCAGACTCTGATCAAAGAAGTGCTTCCATTGCTTGGAAGGCAGGTAAATGAAAGATTGTGAGTGAACCCAAAGTGGAGTTGTTTTGTTGTTTTTGCCACTGTTATTTATCTACTCTTATGCACTTAAAATACGCATTAAAGGTGAGGTACAGTAAGGTATTTATAAATGTCTATGGCTACACAGATGTTAATGGTGCCTTTTCAAGAAAATGTTAATATATCTCGCTGTGTTGTAGAAGGACACCCAGCGCCCATAACAGATATACAGCAAATAGACACTAGCAATAAGTAAACAATAACAAAACATGTGCGGCAGGTAGGGCAGCATTGTGGCACTTAACTGAAAGCAAAGCATTAACAGGACATGATACAGTATTGCACTCAGCAACAACATGATGTGATCTGTCCGTTTTAATTTCCGACCCTTCTTGAGACTCTCAGAGTAAACAGCCCAACACTTTCTTAACTGAACAAGCTGGAATTTGAACTATTCAGGCAATCTGATAAAATCTCTGTTGCCCCATGTTGGGCACCAATAAATCTGTTGTGTTTTGTGGTTGAGCTAGCCACTCTTCAGAAAAATTACAATGGGTCCATTCACGGTTAATGTGAATGTTGTTAATGTTTGGTAGATGATCTCTTGTAACTGGTATGATGCTCAAAACTTTCTGCAGTCTTGCTGGTAGATCTGGTTGCTTTGGAAGTTACTGTCAGTCTTTCTGGATCAAGCAGATTTACTTGTATGAACACAATGATTCTTGACATACAGTAGATTTTTTTCTGGTTATGTCTTGAAATATTTCAAAATACACTTGTATGTAACTACACAGCTAATCTTACCTTGTTGGGAAACTGGCAATCACTATTAGGATGATCATGTTTGTCTTCTACTTCTCTGTGGTGCTCATGGAACACCTCAAGTTGGAAGGAACCCACAAGAATCATCAAGTCCAGCTCCCTGCTTCTTGCAGTACTGCCTAAGACTAAACCATGTAACTAAGAGTGTTGTCCAGAAGCTCCTTGTCAGAACTCTGACGGGCTTAGTGCCATGACCACTTCCCTGGAGAGCCTGTTCCAGTGAGCAGCCATCCTCTCAGTGAAGAGCCTTCTCGTAACGTCCAATCCGAACTTCCCCTGACACAGCTTCATTCCATTTCCTCGTGTCCTATCACTGGTAACCGAAGAGAGGAGATCAGCACTTCCCCCTCTGCTGCCCCTCTTGAGGAAGTTGGGGACTGCCAAGAGGTCACCCCTCAGTCTTCTTTTCTCAAATCTGAACAAACCAAGTGACCTCAGCCTCTCTTCATAAGTCTTGCCCCTTTCACCCTTCACTGGATAGTTTGATGTCCTTCTTATATTGAGGTGCCCAAAACTGCGCACAGGACCTGAGGTGGGACTGCCCCAGTGCAGTGTAGAGTGAGACAATCACCTCCCTCCACTGACTGGCTGTGCTGTGCTTTGTGCACCTCGGGACACAGTTGGCCCTTTTGGCTGCCACGGCATGCTCAATCCAAACCCCCAGATCTCTTTCCACGGGGCTGCTCTCCAGCCTCTTGTCTCCCAGTTTGTATTTATAATCAGGATTACTTCATCCGAGGTGGAGAATCTGGCACTTGCTCTTAAATTTCAAACAGTTGGTGATGGCCCAGCTCTCTAGTGTATCCAGATCTCTCTGTTAGGCCTCTACCTTCAAGGAAATCCACAGCTCCTCCCAGTTTAGTGGTGGTGTTGGCAAACTCACTTAATGTGCATTTGATTCCTGCATCCATATAATTTATAAAAAACACTGAAGAGCACTAGCCCTAAAATTGATACCTGTGGAACCCCACTGGTGACTGGCCACCACACTGATGTAATCCCATCTACTATAACCCTTTGAGCCCAACCCATCAGCCAGTTGCTCACCTAAAGTATTATGGACTTGTCTAGCTGGACAGGTTATCCAGAAGTATACTATGAGAGACAGTATCAATAGCTTTCTAAAATCCAGAACCGCCACATCCACTGGCTTCCCTTAGTCAACTGGCTGGTTAAGCAGAAGTTTCCCCTCATGAACCTGTGCTGGCTATGACCAATGACTGCATTGTGTCTCAAGTGTTTTTCAGTAGCTCCCAGAATAATCTTGTCCATAATTTCACCAGGCACTGAAGTGAGACTGACAGACCTGTAATTACCAGGGTCTTCCTTCTTGCCCTTCTTGAGAATTGGGACAACATTTGCCAGCTCCCAAGTTGACTGGGACCTCTCCAGACTCCCGAAACCACTGAAAAATAATGGAGAGAGGTACGAAGATAGCACTGGCCAGCTCTTTCAGTACCCTGATGAATTGCATCAGGCCCCATAGACTTTTGCATATCCAGCTGGACAGCGGGTCTCTAACAAGCTCAGGATCAAGTGAGTTTATCATCCCCCCAGTCACAGCCTTCCGACACAAGGCTCCAAGGGTCCCAGGGCCCATCACTGGTGTTGAAGACAGAGGTGAAGGAGAATTAGATGTCTAGGCTTTGTCCACATCCCTACCTGTCAGGTAACTGACCTCATCAAGTAACAGACCGGTGTTATCGCTCATCCTTCTTTTGATGTTAACATATTTTTAAAAAGCCTTTTTGTTGTCCTTCATAATGCTGGCCATGGTGAACTCAAATTGAGCTGTAGCGACACAAATTTTCTCCCTACAGTGGCGAACAGCAGGTCTATAGTCCTCAAGGAAGGACTCAAGGCTGAACAGCACCCATATTCTTTACCATCTGTATTCCTTCCCACCTCATTGGAAATTATTAGATACATCTTGTAATCTTGTAGATGCACGTTTTCCTTGCAAGATGATCTCTTTTCAATCTTTTCTACAGTTGATGCCAAGATAGCCTGATTTTTAGGAAATGCGTTAATAGAATTTGCAAGTGTGCCAAGGGTCTGGCAGTCTTCATGTGGAGGCATGAAGCTGTAACATGTGCATTTCACTCAGCAGCTGGGACCTGTGAGTACACCAGAAGATCACTACGCTTCCGCTGCTCCAGGGAACAGCTGTTCTCACAGAGGACAACCACCTCCTTTTGTGGTTGTTTACAGGGTACACAGGAACTTGTATGTGACCGACTGTCTGCAGTAGCTGATAATTGTAGATCTCTGTCTAGATGTACACAGTGATGTAAGGCATTCAGTTTGTTCTGCGCTATAAGATGGTTCTAGGATTTTATTTTTATCTTTTTCCTCAAGTGCTGTGGACCTTTTAACAAAACTTGGAAAATCTTGTCTGAAGTCTTGTCTCATCTGAAAAAAGCAACTATCAAACAGGACAGTCAGCTACTCTGTTTAGGAAAGATCTTCACATCTCTGTATTGGGGAAGCTAGTTTTATGTTGCAAGAAACTTAATTCCTTGGTTCAATTGCAATTTCTCTGGTATTGATAATTTTTAAAGGGTTTTCTCCTTTTTCTGTGTGAAGATGCACATACAGGAAAACTCTTTTTAATATTGAGAATTTGTGTTTGCTGAAGATCCTCTCCGAACCACTCTTAACAAATTTCAAGCAAAGCAAATGTCAGCAGCTGAGGCCTTTAACATCCTTGTTCATGACATGTAAAGCAAGATCATTTAAGAAATTTCATCAATCCTGAGAGTCACATGTTTCCAGGGCTACAGTAATCCTAGTAAATGGTTCTACTCTTGGCTGTGCCAGCTTTTCTCATCTGGCTGCAAGGGACTCGCGTGGCCTCTAGCAGTATTGTTTGCAGAAGGGATGGTGACACATGTGCAGAGGGGTTTGTTCCACCGGTGCCAATGAGGTGCCCCAGGAGATGAGGCCCCGTCAGCCTGCCTTTGCCAAGCCTAGCTCCTGGGCCATCTTCTCCAAGAGCAGGTTCATTCCCAGTCCTGCAGGTTTTCTCTGGAAGAACTCTGGAAATACCCTTGTTGAGCTGCTGGTCACTGAAGAGAGTGGAGTTAACTGTGCTTTACAAGTGCCCCTTGACCATGGGGCTGGGAGCATGCCAATGCAGTTAAAGGCACAGGACCCTGACACCATGTGTGGGAGGCTGAGTGTGTAAAATGAGGATTATTCCTGGGTTGAGAGGAGTGGGTTAGGAGAAGAACATTGTAGTTGATTTTAAAATGTTTAATTTTCTGTGATCTGCATGTGCAGTGTATAACATAACTTTAATGTAAATGTCTGGCAAAATTATATTTCATTCAGAAATTATATTTACATGTTGCATCTTTTGGCAGACGGAGTGCCTCCAGAATTTCAAACTGGTGGAAGTTCTTATGGGCAGTAAGCAGGGTAAGTGAAGGAGCATTGGATAAAGGCACATCTGTAACTGATCATCTACCCTTTTTTCCCCCCTTTTCTCCTTTTAACACAGCCACAGTTAATTTTCTACTACAAATGCCTTCACAAATGAAACTTTGCCATCATGTTGAAATGCTTAATCAGAAGTTATGTTGATTCTTTGTGGCATTGTGTGTCCTGTGGGAATGTGGTTCCCTTCTCTTTCTTCATCATCACATAAAGGTTTATTAGTGGTTACTGGTGGGTATTGGCACTTCGGCAAAGGGCCCTGTTTTGGAGAGCTGCCTTTAACTGACATAATTTTCTTAACTGCAGTTGTTTAGTAAAGATTAATCATAAAGTTCAGTTGGCTCCCTTCCTTCTCTCCTCCTTCTACCAGACGCTGCCCCTAAACAAGAGCAAAGTTGAGCCCTGAGGCAGTCCAAGGAGCGTGTGCGTGTTATGAAGTACAGAAATACGCAGTCCTAGCATTGCCCAAGGGGTTTGTGGTCCTGCAGGAGCTGCATTTGTGTTCTCCAAGTTCACATCCCTTTGTGCTTCATTATTTGTGTGGCTGCATGGAGAGATAAATAAAGCCACTGAAGTAGCCAGATGTTGTCCTGCCCATGCCCGAGTAAATATCTTTTGTAGTTCAAATACTGGCCTGATATTTTGCTTTCTTTGTGAGCATTATCAGTAAGTTGTTTTACAAGGTTATTGTAGCCTTGTGAATGTCTTACCTTGATGGGTTTCTGGTGCTCTGTTTTAAAGCATCATTTACAACCTCACTGTAGCTGGAGGTTGTTACAATTACATTTTCATGAAATACAGAAGTTGGTTATTACTAGTTGTCAGGGAATGTAGTTTTAAAGTCGTCTGTCAAACAGCTCATTACCAAAGTACTGCTTGTCTTTTGAGTGGCTTCAAGCTGTTTCTGCCTTTTTTTTAAAGGAGACTGATGTTTAAGAACTGTGAACAAAATCGGACTATTCAAAGCACTTATGAGTTTTTTTGTTGAATAATGAGTAGTTCAGGTTTGCATGGTCCTTCATGTTAATGTTAGTTGTACACAGAGTTGTGAATTTTCCCTAATTTTTGTATTGTTCTTGTTTAATTGAGCCTGATAATAACTTACAGTGCTTTCAAACATAATTAATGTTCTTGCTGTCTCTAGTTCAGCGCATGGTCTTGGACAATCACGAGCTGATTCTTAACAGACTCAAGGACATAAGAAAGGTAAATCTAAAAAATAAACATGATCGTTTTTTATAGCAAGTAGGAAATCCCCTTTCTTACAGAAAAAGTAATTAGTTACCTCCTCTCCCCAGCTGGCTCATCTGTGGAGAAGCTTATGCTTGGACTGAAGTTTGTTACTATTCATTGTATTCTCTAGGCATGGAGGACTTGATTGCTAAGTGCAGAACTATTTGGGATTTTGCTTCACGATATCTTTTTGCCAAATGTCACATCATTTAATTTTCTTTATTTTCGTAGACTTCAATACGTCAGATGAACCAAACAAGATTTTACATTGTGGAAAACAGTAAATCCATTGTACGAGTAAATTTATTTGTTGGTGGCCTTCCACCTCAGCTTTCCCCTGAAGAATACACAAATATCCTCAAGGATGAATTAGCTATCAAAAGTAAGTAAACAGATGCATTTTGAGATATATTTGCATGTACAGAATAAAATGTAGTAGCATTTACTGCTTCTTCTTATTTTTTCCATAATGTATTCTGACCTTATTTGAAAAATTAGTCTGCCTTGTACTCTCATAGGGGACTTTTTTATTCATTTTAACATGTCCATGGTTGCCTGAGCCATGCGACAGCTCATTATTCACAGGATTATTTTTACATTGCTCGAGTCATATGTGACCACAAATTTCTTTCTAGTGAAAAAGAATCACGTTTTAGCAATGAACCATAAATACCTCACATCATTCACATCCTGGCAGTGCAGTTTAATTCCCTGGGCATTACTGCTCCATGCCTGTATTAACCTCTGATGTCTTTTGTGTGGACTGCCCTCCGTGGTGTTCATGAGCTCTGCCTGATCACGGAGAGGTACGAGCAGTGTGTGCACACACATAGAGATACGCACTCCGTTAGAATATGTATTTCTTTTTTCAGAGAAGTGTAATTGATTTTTCATAATACTTTTTCAATGTGTTTTTTAAACAGTGTCAGGAATGTGTCATGCTTTTAATTTCAGGAAACTAAGCATTTTTCTCAATCTTTTATGTAACTTCAAGAGAAATTAAACTTTAAATGTCAGAAAGAATTCATAGTCACCTTTTATGAAAATCAGTTTAGCTTTTCTAACTTGCAAAGTAAACTCAGGAGAGGGAAAGTGTTAGCTGGAGGTTCTCCCTGTATTTGTATAACTTTTAATATTTATTTATATTATATTTATG